AAGTCAGGGCTGGGCAGGGCACTTATATGAATATGCAAAAAGGATGCATAGTAAAGAGAGAGAAAGAGAGGAAAGACAAGACAACACATTTCCTCTCCTGCACCATAGGGACCATAGACCACACAGTAATTCTTCCAACACATACAGATCAGGCACCAGCAACTACTACTAATCTTGTGAATATCAAGTACATTGTCCATATTCCAATAGTTCTACATAATGTTCAACTGGTAGAAATCACAGGCAGAGAACAGGTATTCTTCCAATCCCTTCCTCATTGTCTTCTAATCCAGTGAATATAAATGTGATGGTCCTAGACTGTTTTCCATGGCCCGTTAAGTGACACTACATCACTCTTGATAGAAAGAGCAAAACTAAAGTGGGCTAACCAACACGGGAATATGTTATGATCAGGGCTCCAAGAGTCAAATAGAAAGCTGTATAGATAGAGGAAGCAAAACGGATAGTGATAAGCAGAAGCCACAGATACAGACACAAACTCTGACAATACAGAGATCAAGGAGACTCTAAAGACTGACAAACAAAGATAGAAAATAATAAATACAGAAAACACTTTAGCCATAAGAAGAGGCAGAAAGACAAATGGAAGCTGAGCGGTAACGGGAAGGGTGTGGAAAGTCCCTCAAAGTAGGATTAAACAAACAAATTGGTCACCAACTAAAAAATGTCCCACACCAAAATATCCAAGTTTGACAAAAAAAGCATTATTCTAACCCTCATTGCTTATTTGTTCCAGGAAACCCTTTCAATTAACACCCCTTTGTTCGCCAACCACAATTTTCTTCCTCCTCATCAAACCTGACATATCACATAACACTGTCTCAATTCCTAAAATATGCCTATTCCCCTCTAGACCAACAGCACCTGCAGCTCATTGACTGTCTCCCTCATTTGTTTTGTCACTACTACACTCATCAATGTTTAAGTATTAAATGTCTCTTTAGATGGAGATATCCATCTATTGCAAAAGCAAAATAACACAGTTTGGAAGAAAACACAGAAAATTTCCCAGTCTAAAGCAAATAAGACAAAGTTGTCTTAATTTCATTTTCATGTGGCCTATTGCGCTGTGGGTTCTTGCATTATAAAATATTACGTTTTTCTTCTCCAAATTTCTGCGCTGTGTCTTTGTACATTACCAAATATGAAATGAAAACAAATATTGCATTTTTAGCTGGGGGTGGTTGGCGCTCACGTCGCTTCAATAACTTTTCCAAAGCAAACGCAGTTTTAACCTGTTTAACATTGTTCCAAAACAGCTTGAAGTATGTATACAATAGGTTATGGTACCACACAGTGACAACTCACACAAAGTAAGATAGAAATAAAATTAGAAAGCTGTGTTATGTGACATCTTGCACTGGGGAACCATTGCGTACAATAAGAATAGACAAATCTCCAGGCAATGTAACTCCGACAGCAATTACGGACTCAGTGGTTGTATAATTACCAGTAATCTAATGACCAGAAGCAGATCAGTGTTATAATGACTCATTGTATGGTATTAATTAGAAATGTCTTGCTGTTTTCAAACACTTTTCTGTAAAAGTGGATAGGATTGCTTTGTCTCTGGTCTCCATACAGCAGAGCAATATTTAAGACAGCAAAGGTTGGTTGGCAGAATTCCATTGCAAGAGAATCTCAGATACGTTATATTTTCATTTTAGTCTATTCAGGTGTCTGCATTACTTGCAGGAAATCATTTTTTAGTTCAGTAGTAAGTTGGAGTCTCCTGTCAAGCAGCAATGGTATGCAAGCGTAAGGTCAGACTATATGGTAATTAGAATGGTGTTGTGATACCCAAATCTTTCCCATCCCTCTTATGCCTTTCTTTTCACCTTTCCACAAATGGAATAGCAATGCCTGAAAATGTGCATGCGGAAGAGCGGCTAATTAATCTTCATGGGCCTTAATTAGCACAGTGTCATTATTTATCATCCTGGAGCTGACAGATTGTGAGCTGGCAAGTCTAGAGAAATAATTAATACTTAAACCCTTATGTTCACAGGATCTGTGACTTATCTTGTTCTGCTTTTCAGTGCTTTTTTTTGCCAATGTTTTAAGAATGAGAGGTGGGTCGTGTTAATGCTGTTCCCTTTTTGTGGTGCATTTTATTTAATTGAGCAGAGATTCTCTTGGGAGCTTGTGTGTACTGACCTATACGCAGAATAAATGAGAAGTTAGAAAGCAATGTGCAATGCTAATGATGATCTTGCTTTATACCAGTCTTTAACACAATACTTTCTTGGCCACTTTGTGTCCAATGAGCCTTGCTAAATTGTGACTGCAGTGGTATATAACTGTGAGAGCATACTAAAAACAAGAGGTCTCATCCAAATTGCCAATCCTGAAGTCATATATTCACGTTGTCATTGATTAATCTATATTTACAAACTGAAGAGCTGGAAGAAGGGAGCTTAAAGGATAAGTGCAAAAACATACAAGCCTACAGCAGAAGTCTACATGTTCTCCTACACCTACTCATAGCATATTACATCCTTGATCACACAATGATAATCATTAAGGTAAATAATAATAGTGCTAATACAAGAAACACTGACGTTTTGCACGCTTCTTACCAATTTCTGTCTATCAGATGGATGATTGTTGATTTCTCCGTGGAGTGGTGAACAAGAGACTTTCAATAGTATTTTTATATACACAGTGCTGCATTCCACCCTTTGCACTTGTTTTTAGTGGCAATATAGACTACATCATTTCTGATTGAACTCTTGTAAGTGGTGAGCAAGAGTGATGTAGATGTTCCAACCATTATGCCGGGTCCTTACAGAACACAATTATCAGCCATTTTGGTCCACATTTACACCAAACCACTAGCAGACATCATCTGATCAACAGGTCTGCATTTATATATATATGCATAATATACCCAGATAGAAATCAGAATAGCAGAAAGAGTAGGTCATCTCAAACCTTTAAGATGGCCAGGATTGAACAACATGTTTCTATGCAATACAAACAATATAGACCTAATAACGTTAGAATGAAGATCCTTCCCAGCAAGCTTTACTTCGCGACAAGCATCAGACCTTGAATCAACCATAAGAACCCACAACATCATGTATGTCCTCATCACAACAGGTTTAAAGGCTAGTAGAATTCATGGAGAACAATCTTTGCCATAATTACAATCTGAGGGAACCATAAAGTGTTACACTATAATACTATAGATGGCTTGAAGAAAAGCATACATCTATCACGACTCTTTATATGTAAGCATGCCTGATGGCCTGTTCTCCTTACTAATGGCAATTACCTATTAAACATTTTGAGTTTAAGAACTTAGCCATATATTTAAACAAAATATGTTAGAAATAGTTAGTAGTTAGTAGACATAAACAAGGTTCTTACAGGACAACATAAATTAAGAGGTTCATCTTCCATCCATCCCCAGTAGACTCCAATCCTCTCCCCCTCAAATGTCCTCAAAAAAAGTTTGACATACGTTTTGTAAACAATCCTCTTTGTCAACACTAGATAAGCAGTGGCAGCATATTAGTTCACTAGACTTTGCTCTCAAATCTAGTAATATTTTTTTTCCCAAAGAACGTCTTTTGCAATTGTATGCAAAAAAAATTAATTAGATTTAATTTTTATATAAAAAGATATTTTCTTCTTACACAATTATAGGAGATAGTGAGACAACTTAGTCTTGTAGGAATGAGGACTCCTCAACCACAAAGAACACCCACCAGCACGCACCTGGAATTGCAGAATGCAATATGGCAACAGGGACCAGTATTCTGCATCTGTACCAAATAAGAATGGCCCCAGGACCAGAGTTCCATCCCAAACGTCTTAGTGCACATTCACCGTAATTTATCCCAAGGTAATAAGCATTATTGTGCAATGCTATTTTAGTTTTAAAGTGCAGAGTTGCAAATTTTATTACTACATATGCATACAGATTAATAAAACAGGAGCTACACACTGAGAACATTTCTTTATTTTAAGGTTTAAAGTTAGGTTTTAAGGATTTGGTGTGCCTGTAGACATGGCCCACAAGGGAAATTTGGCCCTGTTTGACCCATACAGCTGGCCAAGCCAATGCTTCATGAATTTATCTTTTACATATTGAAATGCTATCTTGAGTATCTACCCCTGCTGTTTCTTTTCCTATTCAACTCCATAAGAAAAGGTTGAGTGTTATGTTTTCATGTTCTTAAAGTGAAAGTCTACTTAGGCACAACATTCCATTATTTTACTTTTTTTATTGTTATTGTTTAATTGGGTTGCTGGAAAAAAAATGCATATAATTCTAGTTCCATACTTTGTGAAAGCGACCAATACAACAAATGAAATTGATGAATGCACTTTGAACATCCAACATTTCCCAGCATGCAGTTCCCACTGAGCATTATGGGATGCTGCACTCAGGGGCTCACATGCAGTTGTCATTTTGAATGAAGCAGCAGCAATATGTTGTCACAAAAACATATACATTTCATTGTAGTAATTACTGAACTTTGGCCAAGCCATCTTCACCTCTGCCATGGATTGTTCAATTTTAAGCTGAAAATTATTTCCTCTATTCACTGTGATAGCCAAACATTTATATAATGCATAGATTTACAGATGTCAAATTTAAAGTATTTGCCTGAATTCTGGCTCCAGTGCAGGCTAGACAGTTAGACAAACTGAATTTCTGTGCTTTCTTCCATATCATCTGACATTTTTTCTGTAATGTCTTTAAAGTGAAGCATCCTGGGACAGTTTGGAGATAATACAGCTGTTTAATAAAGTTTAAGATGGTGGTTCTTGCATTCTGTTTGTAACTGAATGTTGGGTAAATATATTTTACCAATTTGCAAATCTGTTCATTCAGCTAGCACATAGTATGGATGCAATTATGTGCAAATTAAAATGACACTCTGTTGTTTTCTGCATTAATAACTAGTGATGTCCCGAACCGTCCGCGAACTTGCCGCGAACGGTTCGCCGTGGTTCGCCACTCCAGTCAGCTGACACATCCCTGCCAATCTCCGGCAGACCCTCCCTCCCAGACCCTCCTACTTCCTGGACAACATCCATGTTGAAGGCAGCTTCAACATGGATGCTGTCCAGGAGGTGGGAGGGTCTGGGAGGGAGGGTCTGCCGGAGATTGGCAGGGATGTGTCAGCTGACCGGAGTTCGGCGCGAACGGTTCGTGGCGAACCGCGGCAAATCATTCGCGGCAAGTTCGCGGACGGTTCGCGACATCACTATTAATAACATGTAATAGTAACTTTTGTAGAAGTCACACCGAGCATTTTCTCTTTCCTTGATATACACAGTATTTGATTTAACTCTGTTCCAAGCAACATACAGAACCTCCGCTTTAGCAAAACGGCCACACCTTTAATTCCTTAGACAATTTTCTGGATTTTATACTCCGCGAGACTCATTTCGGTAACTATAGCTCCATTCATTGTGATCCTCTTACTGTATTGGGATGGCTTCCAGAAATAATGTCCTGCAGATTTTTGTGTTTGCTTTATAAAGTCTTTCTTTAAATTCTCATGAACATTACAATCCATTAATATTTCTTTTTACAAAACCCACCATTTATTTTCAGTGTATTATCCGCAGGTATAATAAAAAATCTGCTACCGTCCAGTACAATAGTAATAACTTGTGAATGTTTTTAATGACTTGAAGCCCAGACCGAAATTAAAGCCCCAGTGATATCCTATGAAAATATGTTCCATTACCTGGTATGTAGAATGGTACTATAAACAGGATTTTTTTTATTTTTTATTCAGAACTTGACCATGATTTGAAAAGGAAATATATATATTATTGTATGCTCCCAGAAAAATGACTTTCTGCTTCTTTCATGTAGAAAATATAGCATTACCAAAGGAGCTCCGGAACAAGAAGAGGTGTTACCAAGTATATTCTGGGGGCCTATTCATACATACTTAATCAAATCAAAGGAGTCTGGAAGGAATACTAAAAAACCATTTCTGAGTAATGTGTAAAAAAGCTCAGAATGTGTGGAACATGCTGATTGAACTCATTTAAAGTATGGGTATGGACAATTCCGATTTGGCTGCCTTAACGTAAACTTTGGGATGCGTTTTTTCTGATTAGTAAATTCATCAAACATGTTAGCCAAAAAAGTTGAATTGGAGGAAGAAATATCCTCCAATTCATTTAGTTTTGTAAATGTTTAAAAAGCGTGCTTGAACCATGATTCCATTCAAAATGGGATTTAATTTTGTATTGCAGTGATATGAGTAGAGCAAGTAATATTTTATGTTGCTTTTAGAAGCTGAGCATGCTTAGTAGGTTCTGAGCTCAGAAGGTCGAGTGAACTAATACAAGTTGTTTATGCAATGTGTTGCATAATGAAATCTTGGTGTCAGCATTTGTTATTACTAAAGCATGTATTCAAGTACCAGAACACACCACAACCAGAAGTTCGCCTTTTTAATTAGTCAGAATACATCAAAGGGGAATCTAATATATATATATATCTTGAAGTCTGTCAGGCTGTACGTTTGTCAGTCTGACACTCTGTGTGTGTTTTTTACATCACTATATGTGCATACCCCCAAGTATCCCTATGTCCCTATTGAGAAGTGATAGTCCCAATTTTGGGCCAGAATCCCTCTGTCCCTCTTTTCTATCCCATTGACCCTCTTTTTTAAGAGTTCCATATTGTTTAAGTTTCCATATTGTTGGAGTGCATAACAGAGCTCCACAGCAATAATATTCACAGTAATGTAGCTCTAACCTATAATAATTATTTTAAAATATCAATCTGTGTAAATAAGATACAATGTTCTTGTTCTAAATTACATTTTAGTTTCAGAAATGTTTATTGGTAAGTCACCTAAAATTTCTCACAATGTCCCTGACCACAACCCACTCACACTCCTGAAATAAAAGTGTCCCTCTTTGTCCATTTGAAATGTTGGGAGGTGTGATATGTGAGATTTTGTTGTCTGTTTTTGAATATGTGTGTTTGACTGTCCTACGGCATGGAACAGGCAATCTTTGGCAACTTGGCTGCTATAAAAATAAAATCAATAAAGTATAATAGAATAGAACAGTATATTGTGAAAAAATATCTTAGAACCACATTTACGATTATAATGTATATTTTATACATGACTTCATTATAATTCCCATGATGCCTATAAAGTCTTCAGTTGGATTTACACCTCAGGACATACTTGACAACTACAGAAATCTCAATGTATCCTTCCTGGTAAATTATTTTATAAATAAAATAAACAGAAGTTATATTAATACGCAAACATACAATTACATAAACATAGATTTAACACTTACCTGCCACTCCAAGGGAATGATTTACGTTCTAAAATGTCCCTGCAACCTCCTTTACATAGGTCGCACAATTCGAAGCCTTAACACTAGAGTGGCGGAACACACAAGAAACATTAAAAATGGAGTGGAGTCACACAGTGTCTCCAATCACTTCAGAATTACACACCAAAAAAACCCTGAAGGAATGTTTTTTAGTGCAATTAAGCAAGTATCAAAAGATTGGAGAGGAGGAGACTATATTAGGAAGATAGGGAAGGAAGAAATGAAATTTATTTTTAATTTTAATACTATGATACCGTATGGATTAAACAAAGATTTTGAATTATGCCACTTTATGAATTAATATGCATTTTTAGTATAGTTTTACTTTTCTTTTATGTGCATTTTAGTATCCATTATGTTTTTACCTCCCTTTTTTATGTATTTAGTTTTTAGTCAATCCAGCTTGTTCACTTACTGTACAATATAAAGAATCACCTTTTACCATTCACTTTTACTATTATATTATATGTATGAGCCCACACTGCACGAACTTTATGCAGACATGCTTACTTTCCTGCTTAGTGGTCCCTATGTGAATCATTTCTCATGCATGGGACACTTCCTTATGCCAATAAAGCTTGTTGAATCACACACACAAGGAAGTCCGATGACGAAACTGATGTTGGAACGCACGGTGCGTTCCAAAAAGACGCAAACCGGAAGTGACGAAACCCGGAAGTAAAAGACGGAACTAGTGAAACCGGCAAACGAGGCATTTAAAAAGCCACTAGAACAGACGGAAAATAGAACAGCCAACTGAGGAAGCCTTATGAAAAGGCGAAACGCGTTTTGGACTATCACTTTGAACTTGGGACTATTAAGTCTACCCAGTACTACCTGGGATAAGTATTCTTTTTTACTATATATATCTTGTTTGTATAATTTTTTGGAATAAATTGTTTTTTAAAGAACCCTGACACACTGGGTATTTATCCCTATTTTGAAACCAGTTAGAAGGGCACAAAAGGAACCACTCAACATTCAACACGCTGCCAAAGAAGGGTCTGGACAACCCCCAAATGGTCCAGAGGCTTATACCACCAGAGTCATATGAGGGTATGACTCCAGGCTTGTGAGTTTGACATATCTTCCAATCTATTTTTGATATAGTGTGTTACAGACATATTGCACTATTTTCTGTTTGTATTTTATTTTCACAGAAAGCCTGCTGAAATTTAAAAGCTCCACTTGTTTTATGTATGTATAATAGATTTAACACAGTTGTATATACCGTATTTTGTGTATAAGACGCCCCCATGTATAAGACGACCCCTTTTTTTGAGCCCAAAATTAAGAAATAAATATTTTAAGGATCAAACAGGACAACTTGATGTTTTACTTTGATTTAAAAAAACTGTGCTCCTTAAATCCACACTCTAATCTGTAATGCTTTTAATTGTTTGTACTGTTTGCAATCAGATTTAAACCCTGTCCTCCTTAAATCCACTCTTCCTTTTTTCTATTCTTTTTTTTCTATTAATCTTATCACATTTTGATATGATATGTTTTATTATGTATGAATTTTATTGTATGTATGACAATTATTGTATTGTATTTATTTTACATACAATACAATAATTGTGTGGCAGGCTGTGTAATGGCAGCTGCTCTCGTCAGCTCAGTGTAACCGCAGTGTAGCTGCAGCTCCAGCTCTCCCGTCTGTGCACTTTACTCTTGATATTTATGGTGTGTACCCTATTTACTCCCCGAGCGCTGGCTTTCTGAGTGCTGAAAGACTGTGCATTGGGAATGGGGGACCTGGACCTCCGAGCGCTTATTGAGGAACTGTGCCTGACTGACTGAATAAGTGTTCTTGGGGAATGGGGGACCTGGGCAGCCAGGGGGCACCTATTTAATTTTAACATTTCGTGTATAAGACAACCCCCAATTTTAAACTTGAAATGTGGGAAAAAAATACCGTCTTATACACGGAAAAATATGGCAGTTAACACACTTACTCCTGATGCCTCCCATCTCCTGATCTACTACTGGCTACATTATGGCTGCAGTTAAAAACAACACACCAGTATATTAGCTGTCGGACTGTTGTCAGCTATGATAATGTAATGTGAGAAAGTAATACCTAGCCCAGGGGTGTCCAAAATCTAGATACCCAGATGTTGTAGAACTCTCCCATGAGAGCAAAAAACAAGTCGCAAGAGAGTGCTGAGACTGGACAACAGCTCAATTAGCCTGCCCTTTGGTGGGTCCCCGTTCAGTTCTCAAGTTGGTTTTAGCTCATCTTGTGCCATTACAAAGAGAACCATGCATCTCAGACTGATTCTATCCAAAAGGGCAGAACAGATCCAAAATACAGGCCAGCTCTCTCTGCACGAGAGATACAGCAACCCCAGACGATCATTTCAACCTTGTTAGGCATCATCAGTGAGGTATATGCAACGTGAGCAAGGGGTCCATGTCTGGATTTCCCTTTAAACTTCAGGAGAGCAAAAAAAAAAGTCGCAAAGAGAGTGCTGAGAACGAACAACAGCTCAATTAGCCTGCCCTTCAGTGGGTCCCAGCTCAGTTCTCAAGCTGGTTTTAACTCATCTTCTGCTATTACAGAGAGAACCAGGCCATGCATCTCAGACTTATTCCACCCAAAACGTGGACCCATTGCTCACGGTGCCTAGAGGGATATTGGCTATACCTCACTGATGATACCTTACAAGGTTGCAATGATCGTCTGGGGTCGCTGTATCTCTCGTACAGAGGGAACTTGCTGGCATTTTGTATCTGGACTGCCTGTATGGGTGGGACTAGTCTGATATGCTTTGGATTTGTTTTCTCTGTAATGGCACAAGATGA